ATATGGCTTTAAACTATTTTCGGATTATAAATGCTACCTTTTGTTAATCCCTCTATGGCAAACCCAATTGGCTAGCTAAGTTTGTTAAGCCGAAACCCGTCGGTTGATCATAGCCTGGCAATTTCTGGTGGGTCTGCCAAGTTCAACCCACTCAGTACACCTCCACATCGACATCGACAACCACTTGGCTCCAAACCGGCCTGGAAAGTGGGCAGAGCCACAAAGAGATCCACTCAAGAGAAGCCACAAAGAGTTGGGTCAACAAAGCAACTACATGACAAGTACACACTCCGATCTGGTTTTCTCGTCTTTTTGTTTTTTAGTTTTTTTTTAGGGGGACGTCTGGTGGTCTGGTCCAACACTTTGGTTTTGGGAACGAGCGCTAAAGAGCTGCTGATGCTGATTCCAAACGAGGCAGAAGAAGCCACCCGAAGACTGCAAACCAGTTTCTCCTCGACTCAAAAGCCCCAAAACGAGTTGCCAGCGAAGATTACAATTTGTGGTTCCTTTATTTCTTTGGGTTTTTAGCTTTTGGCGAGCTGAACGAATCAGTGCCAATGAGGTTGGTGTATACGCAGAGATGGGGCTCAAGCTACGCCCACAGTGGAGGTCTGAAAAAGACAGGCCAGGAAAATGGCTGCTTCTTTTTTTGTTAAGTTCAATGAGGGGTTTGGCCCAATTATTGGTTAAAACTTAAGTGGATCTTGAGGCTTACTCTTTGATTTGTTAATTTTTTAATATAAAAAAGGGTTTTGGCATATTTCCAGTATATTTTTAGACTCCATAATGTGGTTTGTCCTATGAACTAAAAAATTTGTAGTCTTAATTAGTTGCTTAAACTATACATCAGTAACTTTAATAATCACTTCATATTCATAGTCACCCTTAGTTCTCCTTCTACAGATAACCAAACTAAAGTTGGTATCATCTTACTTGTTTTTCCAGCCAGTGAAGCGTAAAGTTTAAGAACATTTCCCTTCAACCAAGGAAATGCAATTAATTTTACTAAAATTACCTAGGTCCATTTCTGATATCCCTGAAATGGGATTACCCAAAAAACACGCCTGATGGATGGATGAGCGATCGAATGTGTGTGGTTTTTCACACTTTTTTACTTCACGCCTTCCTGCACTTGCCTTCATTTCGGAGAGGGTGTGGCCTGTGTCATTTCTCCGGCAATTTGGTCCGCTTCTCCGGGGCCTGAGATCATCGAATTTTCCCCAGATTGGAACTTTCCTTTCAATTAAGCACGCTTTCTGCCCAATTTTTAACCACTGCACGCATCTCATGTAAAACGATGCCACATGTGTATCTGCTGCCCAGAGTCTCGGAATGTATCTTAAAGTATAAGTATCTGTGACTGCTCACGTTAAGCGGAAGATCGGTTTTGGCTCGCTTTTCACTTGGCATTGTGGAATCTTCTCCGTCTTTTGTTTTTTAACAAATATAAAATTATCCGAGCTGTCGAAAAGTACATGGAAAAATATTCGTTTTGGTTTGCAGGAAATTATTTTTGATTTTCAACGGTTCTTAGGGTTACATCTTGTGAGGGGAAAATACGATTTTTAAGGCTGCTTTCTTTTGTTTTAATTCTGAATTTGTTGTATGAATTTACAAAACATAACCATGAATATTAAGTAATATAAATAGAAAATCTATAATATAACTATTTTAATAGGAAACTAAAAACAATATATTGTTAAAATTTAATCCCCTTCCCTTAACTTGATCATAATCTCGGCTTTTCCCTTTCGTAGAAGAAGTTGCCGGCCAAAAATGCCGGGCCACTCCACTGGCAATGTCAATTTGCATACCAATTGCAACGGCCGTATGTCAAAAAATGTGAAAGTTTAATATAGAAAATGCTCAAAGCCCTGGGTCCTGGCCCCAAAGTTGCCTCCTGCCAGGCGGATGCCAATCCATTGACTGACAAGGACAAGTCGTGTGCGACAGTTGACAGCTGCTGCCTGCTGGCTGCCACCGTTTGAATATCTCCTCCATTCCCGATCCTGGGTGGTCGCCGCCACGGGATGTCCACCGTACAGTAGTCACTGGATGGGTGGCTGCTGATGAATGGGGTGAAGGTAGAGATGGTGGGGCAGCTTCAATGGCGCCAGGCAATGCCTGGACAAATGACAGTGGACGACTGCAGCTGATGAATTTATGCGGAAACCGCGATGAGAAATGCATTTTTCATAATAAATTGAAGGGGACTGGGCACGTTGGCAGCAAGCGGGATATCAGATTTTTCAATTAATATTTAAATATAACAGTAGATAAAAGCCAAAGAAAATGTGTTTTTAAATTTAAAGTATAAATTCAATGCAAGTGCACCAGCGGAGTTGCCACTCTTAATACTAAATATTAAATACTAGATAGTAAAGCCTTTTCAATCAATTAAAAAACGGGCACTTTTTACGCCGAAAAACGAGGTGGAACCGACGCGCGAGGATCCGCCTGCGTATTTAAAACGAGGTAAAGTTACAAATATAATTCATTAACAGTATTGACTTGAAGGGTAAGCAATAGCCAAGTTTATGGTATTCTAATTTTAAATTCATAAATAATTTTAAATTTAAAATTAAGAAAGTTTAAAATGCGGCTTGTTATAGGAAAAGTGATGCTGCTTTTAGCATTTATCGGTATATTCTACGAAAACGTGTCAATTCTAGATAATTCCGATTCTTTGAAAGTTGAAAAAGTGTGAAATATCGAAGTGCACTTTTTTTGTAGGATTTTTTTGTGTTAAAGTTAATCTACAATTTTTTGTTTTATTTTCTAGGAAAATCGTTAAAAAAGATTATTAACAAACTAAGAATATTTCTGCGATAGCTGATTCTTTTAAAAAAATGAAGAAAAAAAATAAATATTTTTTTTTTAATAAAACCCTCTAATAAAAGTTATTAAAAAAAAAAAAACAAAAAAAATAAAATATAAAAAAAAAAAAAAAAAAAAAAAAAAAAAAAAAAAAAAAAAAAAAAAAAAAAAAAAAAAAAAAAAAAAAAAAAAAAAAAAAATGAAGGAAGCCAAAAAGTAATCTTCGGATTCGGGGGGAAAGTGGACGTTTGGATGAGGTTAAGATGATGCCTCCCAGAACTAGAAAGCGAAGGAAGGTCGTTGATTGATGGAAAAGCTTTTAAAAAATATTGAAGATAAAATAATGTTTATCTTTTCTAATTTTTGAAGGCTTTTCTTTGGGCGACAGTTTGTCTTCGTATTTTTTTTCTAGAAGGGGTCATCTTAATCCCATCCGAGATTCCACTTTCACATCTAAATCCGAAGGCCTTTAGGATTAGGGTGGGAAAGTGGCTTTTTGGATGAAGTGAAGATGATGCCTCCTAGAGCTAGTAGGCAAAGGAAAACCGTCGATTGAGGGAAAAGCTTTTAAAAAATATTGAAGATAAAATAATGTTTAGCTTTCCTAGTCTTGGAAGGCTTTTCTTTGGGCGACAACTTGACTTCGTACCTTCTCTTTCTAGAAGGTGTCATCTTCATCCTATCCGAGATTCCACTTTCACATCTAAATCCGAGGTCTTTAGGCTTCCGTAACTTTTTATTTCTTGAACTTGCGCGATGATCGGAATTTCACTACAAATATATTGCTTTAAAACTAATGACTGTTTTTTATGGTAATAAACTTCGGGTTGCCTACGTACATACATACATCCAGTAGTGGGCAATAAATTTCCATCGGGAGAAAACAAACTGTCAGACATTTTTATCAGCAATTAATCGTGTTAATCAAATGCCTTGTCAGCATCATTTACCAAGAAACGGATTTTACGTAATGCCTGGCGATCCATTACGGCTAACAAGAGTTGAGTGAAAAGCTCTTTTGAAACGCCATAGCCGATGGCCAATCAATCAATGACAGCGACCTCAGTCGAGGCTCGATTTGAAGTTGAAGTTAGAAACTCATTGCATTTCATACTCGGAATGCCAAACAAATTGTTGAAATTAAGCGCACGAGTCACCAACATGATCACAATGGCGTGAAAACAAGTCAAAGTTGAGTTCGGTGCTGACTGCGTGACCGAAGATTGGATGTGGGGGATGCACAGTAAGAAAATTTGTTATATTTGAGAATCAAAACCAAAGATGAAAATTAACACAAGAAAGAGCAACTGCGCTTTGATGCTTTCCAGAGAGGTACATTTTCTTTTAATTATACTTTATTAATCGAATTCCTCAGTGTAAAGTTCAAATTCGAAATAATGCTTAAGCAAGGCTTAAAAAGGTTTTCCATGCTCGTGCCATAGAAAGTTGTTGTCCTTATCGCGAACCCCTCATCTCGAGTTGTCATGTCAACGCTTCTGATTCCGATTTCTGGCTGCATTCCACACATGTCACGGTGCCCAAAAGTTGAGACTCGGCCGCAGATTGATGCCCCCGGCACAGTGGGATACTTGGACTGCTTGGTTATCCACTTGGAGATACTTGGGGATGGGGTTACTTGGCTAACTGATGGCTGGTGCGGCTGGCAGCTCCTCAATGTCAGCATCAGTCGACCAATATCATCAACCACGTCGCAGTCGTCAGTGTGATTAATTTGCTGGTCTTGTAAGTTGGAACTTGTAACTGCCAACTTGGCGGATCACCATCTCCATCCCAATCCCTATCCCTATCCCTCCTCCAATCTTAACCCTTTTGTGTTACCTTCTCGCTGCCGCTGGCTGGCATTTATTAAATGCGGATTTAGTTAATGGGTTATTTTTGGTTGGATGTCGCTGTCTGGGCCATAAATCAGTGGCCCGAAGTGCGGGTATCGGTCAGGGCTTAGTCCGTTAATATGCAATGATTAAAAGTGTCATTTGTTATGGCTTCGAAAATGGATTGAACAATGCCACGGATTGGCAAATGAGAGATGTGATTTCAGCATTCAAGTTTTGAACGGAGATTGATATTTATATATTTTGAGAAAGGCTGTTTTAGTCTTAGTCGTTCGGTCCATAAAAAAAGTAGATAAATTTTAAATTTAGAATAACATAATCTTTGTTTTATTACAAAAACTGCCACCAAGAACGAGAACGATCTTTGAAGAGGTCGTCCAGTGCCGTTCGAATGCGATCTACAGGTTCGCCGAACTCATAGGCCCAAATGAGGGTAAAGGTAAATATTATAACCAAACTCACCAAGCTGGACTTGGACATACGGTTAATAAATTGCATTATTTCCGGTAGCACTCCCAAATTGATAATCATTTTAGCGATGGCAAAACAACGGCGTATGAAAGCGCTTATAAAAGTACAGCTCGCTTTGCTAATAGTTCTTTCCAGTTTCACAACCCTGGGAGTTTTTAGTATATCCAGCGATTCATCTGTAAGTTCTTCTTGATTGGCGTACAAAGTTGTTGCAGTTTTATATTTCTTATTATTTCTACGGTATAGAATCTTTACCGTGTTCGTATCAGAGTCCGAATAATATTGGCTCTCCGGGGACCGAGAGCGTTCCCTTTTCCTACGAATGGTTTTCTTATCCTCCTCTTTCATAGTCTTCAAGTGATGTCTAACTTCTCCATTTTCTGCGTCCTTGTTGGCTTTAGATTTTTTATTCGATTTTTCAGAATTAACGCACTCTTGAAAAGCATCAACGACGGCGGCACGGATGTGACGGTCCAGCTGATTTCTGGATATGTAATGTCTTGGAATAGAATGGGAGCGATTAACGGGAATCCGCGATTTGGAGGATATCTGGCTGGTATTGCATCTTAAATCCGTGTCAGACTCCTCCGGCGATCGGAGCTTGTATCTATTCCTTCTGTAATAAGAAGCCTTTGTCTTTTCCATTTTTGATCGATGGTCCATGAAAAAAGGAAAGGCTTTATTAATATATAAGCTTTTGCTTTTTTTTAGATGTTTTTATTATGTGTAATAGCTTGGAAGTCGGTATAGAGACGTCTGATTTTTCCAAGCCCACTTGTGCTGTTTAAAAAATGGATTAAAATTCCAAATAATTTTAAAGTCTTCACTCAAGGAAAATAACTGTTTTAAACAACAGTAAGAGTTTTAAAAGTTCGCGTCAGTGTGCCCAGCGCGTCTAAAGGTCGAATTTGAAATTCTGTTTAACCTTACTTTAACAAAAGTAAGTCTAACAATTAAATTCCTCACTTTTTTTTATATTAATAACCAAAATATGACGCAGCTAAAACGGAAACGATTTGTCGAAAGAATCGCAAACAAAGCGTTGCAAATTTCATTTATTAAGGGGCAGATCTGCCAAAATAATATTTAAAATTAATGCGGGGACAGTTGTTCCAACGGCTGCACCCACATGCCGATCTCTTCACACCTGTTCCGGGCTCGAGAAGCGAGGCGTATTGTCAACATATGGTCTTTCTGAACAGGAATATCATCGAAGAAGTCCCGCTGGGCATCGATACTGGCCGGAATCTTTTCTCGGGCACTGTGTGTGCAAAACAAAACGACGCCGCTTTGTCTCCTGTTTTGTCTGAATTGACAGGACACAAGGCAAAACACAAACACGAGGCAGGACAAAGCGGAAGACAATGCCAGACCCAAAATCAAGAACGCAGAATCGAGAATCGAGAAACCAAAGTGGCAATTTTTATGCCCATATGTATATGGCTAGCTATAAGTATGACATGTTTATGGTGCCCTATGGTGAGTCTGTTTATACAGATGCGGTCAGTTTTATAGGGATGTCTTTAGCAGTTTGAGATACTCTCTCGAGATATTTTATTATTATTTAATGGAATATTTTTTAACGACTTGTTACTTACTAAAAATGTTTGTTTTTCAAGGAAGTTGTAATAAATAAAACCCATCTTTGCCTTTGAATTATGAATTTTAAAAACTTTTAGTTACGAAAAATGCTATTAATGTCGCCTTGGCTGTAAGAGAACGCACAAATCCACTCACACACATACATGGCACATCCTTAAAGGATACTCACTTATGGCTCTTTGCTTATTAATGACTTCGCTTAGGGCCTCATTGTCTGGAGATTCCCCTCAACCTCACTCGATTTGGTTTTCCGGATGCATTGTGTGGGCTCTTTACCGCCCCCCCGATGACCGTTTGAATTTAGCCGCTAAATTATTGGAAATAACGGTTCGTTCGGGCCGTTCACTAACGGTACCCAATGGCTACTGTGCGCGCGCCGCTTTTAACATGGAATCTTTATTATCCTCTGCGGTTTGGAACAAAATCCTGCCCAAGGATTTCCCCTGCATTTCCCCAGGGTGAAATCTTGGTGAATGGAAACAAATAGCAAGTGTTCGAAGTAGCTGGCAGCTTCAGGGAAATGTGGGAAAAATATTTTAAGTATGGGTTAAAGGTAGTTTCGAGATTTTTCATTTGTGGTGAAGAAAAGGATGTGATAAGCAGTTTTATTTTAAAAAATATTGAATGGTTTTGAGTTTATGATTAATGGAAAGTACTTTAGTTATTTTCTTAAACCCAAAAACAGTTTTAAAAATATTATTTCTGCTTTAATATAAGGTTTTCCTTCTTTCATCACCTTCGGGCACTTATAAATTTAATATCGCTAAGCCGATCTCTATAATGCCAGTCTTAACCCTTTGTCTTTAAAATTCACCCAAAAACCTCTTAATTTAATTCATAAATATCACATGCCACTAATTCAAGTAATCTTCATTTATTAAGAAACAATTTCTCACCCCTTGGCTTATTTATGTTGATATTTCGAACTAAAACAATACATTCATAACATGCCGGGAATATACAATTTTTGGTCTTCAAGTTGCCCCCTTTATCGGCCTTATCATTCACAATTTATCGGGAAGCGGAGACGTTTGGTGTCAAATTTGGGTGTTGACCACAGCCGCGTACATGGCAATCAACGCCAAATTATTTCTTTTGTGGTGCCACCGCAGAACGCCCCACGTTGAAGAGGATTGGAGTGGTGGCATCCTTCCTTCCTTCCTTTTCCCGTGGGTTGGCGCAGCTGCCCGGGCAATTATTTCAGGTAGCCATGAGGAATGCGGTGCGCTCTATCTATGGTATAATTTTTGGTTTTGGGAGGAAATCGAACGGGAATGATACATGGAGAGAAAATAAGGGTAAGGTTCTTAAAATTGGAGAGAAAACTATTAGTTTAAGACTTCAACCTATTATATATCTTTCCTAGATAAAGGGATTATTAAATTCATATAAGGAAATCTAATTTTTCTCTCAGTGCCTGCCCAGGTTGCGTATCGATGGCGACACCTTGCGCCATCATCGCTCGGGTAGATTACCACTGTAAATATTATTAAGCACGATTACAATCGCTCCGGCAGACGGAACCGCTTATTAAAATTATTATGCACACAAACATATATATAGTGTACAGTATATGGCCATATCAGATACCGTGTTTGGGCCAAGTTAGCCAACAAAGTTGCGCATGCGCAGTGGGGATCGGCACTGGATCGGTTGAGATGGCCGCGATCTTGGATCGGGTTGACAATGGGTCGACTGGGGATGGGACATTTTACGCGTAATTGACAAGCTTTCTGGGCCCTGCTTTTATGCGGCATTTAAACCAACTAATTGCCGACCGAAATTTCCCTCCATGTGAAAAGTTTGTCGTCTTTTTTGTGTCATGTTTAATTATATCCACATTTATGTAAATAGTACTTCGTTTTTCCCCTCAGGTGGGTACACAGTTATGTGCACAATTAGAGGTAGAGATACCCGAAATTGTTGCGTGTGTTTAGGTGCGCGTGAAAACAACCAAAATGCCTTTTAGGAGCCATTCAAAATGTTCAGGGGGTTTAAGGGGTTCAGGGGCCAGCGGCTACGTAAATTATTCAACAAACTGTCACGCAATATTTTGTTACAACCACCCTCTCCTCCTCCAAAAAAAATATAACGAAAATTGTTTTGGAAATCAAAGCGAAAACGCTTAGCCCATTGCGGACCACACACACTTTTAGCCAATTGATTTGGCCGCCCCAAAAGAACGGCTGATAAGTCCATACACACACACGCACCCCCAAAATGTCCAACAATTTCTGACAATTAGCGGCGCTTTTCATGTTCATTTCGTTTCACGTATCGAGGTCTCCCCGTCATATTGACAATTTAAGCGCAAATTTGTTTCAACATTCAGCGGCTCGTCTGCGATTGAAAGCTGATTTCTGATTTTGGATTTCTGTTTTCTGATTTCTGAATGTGCCTCCACGCAAATGTATTTCCATTGTTAGCAAATCGAATTGAGGCGAACACTTTTGACATTTAAATGACATTTGAATTGGGTTAGAAAGCCAATTGGCCGGGCCAACAAGCCGACGGTCATTGATTTCTGGGAGGGGTAACCCAAGTGCGATCATGTTGAAAGGCAAAATGGTGAGGTAAATTGGTTTTCTGGCAAGATGAAAGCTGGTTAAAAAGGGTTTGGGAAAAGAAATGGTAGGAGTAATAAGAAAATCATATATTTTAGCTAAATCTAATGTCTAAGTTACCTAAATCATTGCTTACACATTACTATATAAAACCGTATATTACTTAGTCATTTTCAAAGTTCAACCAAATCTCAACCCATTGACGCATTCGGAATGACTCAAATGATGGCAAAAACGAACCGCTTTCCCTTTGCAATGCCACAAAAATAAAAAGCAGAGACCACAAACAAGTTGAGAGGAAATCATCGTAAAATCTTAAGTCATAAAAATTTTACGCAAATTGTTGCCATCGAACGGGAAAAGGGAAAATCAACAAACAAAAGCGGCAAGCGAATCGCAGATGGCATATAATGAGTATTATCAATTTCTTTTGAAATTTACTGCCAAAATGCTTAAGCATGGCGTCGATTTGCTTAAAGAAATTCCATTGGTCCGGATCGAAAATGAAAACCAGACGAAGGATAGGAGATCAAAGCCAAAGAGGGGAACACCCCAGCTGACACAAGGGGGGAAGTAATTTTCAATTTTCCACAATTACAGCGATCGGACGGGAAGTGATCTCTTGAGGGCGGTGGTTCGCGTTGGATGCTGCGTGTTTGGCACAAAGTGCAGATAAAATTAATTAAAATTTAATTCAATTCAATTCACTTGCGCCGGCGCAAAAACCACAAAGAGATTTATCGCTGATAAACGCGCCTAGAATGGGAAACCTTCGGGAGGTGGGAGGCGGTGGTGGCGCACAAGATCAATGGTTCGGTTGGATTGCTCCATGGATGTTGTTGTGGCGGCTGGTCAGGCTGATCAGGGTGGGTGAGGTGAAGGCTTCCACTGGCGCAATGGATCACGCCGTTGATTAATTCCCCCGTTGTTGGTTGGCTAGCCCGGCCATTAAAATGCCATAAAATTATTAATTAAGCAAGTGCACTAGGAAAAGCCACTTGCCAGATTTCAGATTTATGACCCAACTGGTTGGGGCGATAAAGTGGAATGGAATATGGATACGTTCATATCGATTCGAATGCCTTGGATTGGAAATTGAAATTGAACAAAATGAAAATCATTCGATTTTCCTTCTACGCCGACCCGTTGCAGTCGCATTTTCCGAGTGCCGCCTCAAGCATTATGGATTTTTAACGAGTTTTCAATTTATTTGCGCGCCAGTCGCGGAAAAATCTTTCGAGTGCTTTTCATACAGACACTCGACCATCATCAAGTGGCTTTTCTTTATTCGGACTTTGGGCCACCGTCATGTGGAATGTGCCGTGGCATGTTGTTTATTTCATTTCAGCAACTGTTCGGAAAGCTGTGGACTAGTCGACGAACAAAAACAGAAGTCTGTAAAATCAGATATATGCTAAAATAACACAGAAAAATATTTGGTCCACCCTGATTTCACCAAAAATTATCGAATTATATAAT